GCCGCTAGCAGGTCAATCTGTACCTGAGAGGCGAGTGCATCAGCAGCTTGATGGCGCCTTCAGACTTCCAGATACCCCCAAATTGCTACTGTGCCTTTGGCCAGACCCCAAAAAATTGGGGCAAAGTTTACCAAGAAAGAAAATGGCCAAAAGTTAGGTATGTGGGAAACACACCCACAAACCACCTCCGGCTCGGCTATATAATTGGAGGCATGGCCTCTCTGGTTCCTGATTGAACTGCGTAATGAACATGATCCCAGAGACTCCAAAACAAATCTCAAAACCCAGCAGCTTTTGGCAGAAATGTGTCCGGTCTCTGCAGTAGGTTACCGGTGCTGGGCCACCCCAGGTGAGAATAGGTTTCGTGCCTTAGCCTGTTCCCCCTGGGGCCCGCTGGCTGCCATCCTCCAGAGGCCACTGGACAGTCAGGTTTGGGCCCGCAGTGACGAAACATGCAGGGTCTCACGGGATGGGGGTGGAGCCAGTCCTGTCCTCCCCATCCCAATGAGACCCCAAGTCATCACCCACGAATGGCCTCTCTGGCTCCTGATTAAGCTGCTTAACAGCCATAATCCCAGAGACTCAGAAACAAATCTCGAAACCCAGTGGCTTTTGGCAGAAATGCGTCCGGACCACACAGTAGGTTACTGTTGCCGGGCCACCTCAGGAGGGAAAGGGTGTTGTCCCTCTGCCTGTTTCCCCCTGGCAGCTCGGTGGCTGTCATCCTCCAGAGGCCATTGGGCAGTCAGGCTTGGGCCCGCAGTGACAAGACATTTTGGGCCTCACGGGATGAGAATGGAGCCGGTCCTGTCCTCCCCACTCCAACTAGACCCCAAGTCATCGCCCATGAACGGCCTCTCTGGCTCCTCATCAAGCTGCTCAACAGCCATGATCCCAGAGACTCAGGAGCAAATCTCGGAACCCAGTGGCTTTTGGCAGAAATCTCTCCAGATTTAAGTGTTAAAATTTCGGAATTTCAAAATCGCACGGCCACTACTGGAGCCATGCAACAACTCAAAAATCAGACAAATCACAGTCCTCACGTTGTTCATCAATTTGCTCGAGCGAACCCAGTAATGTCTCCTTCATGAGACTTGTTGTTACTGTGTTTGGCATATCAAATACATCACGGGTAGCTTTCCAGGCTCTGCCGTGCGGGTGAGATACTCTCAGTAGCTTGCCAGGCTCTCCGAGAGGGGCAGAGGAATCAAACTTGGGTCGGTCATGTTGGCCACTTGTAAGGCAAACGCCCTACCGCTGTGCTATAGAGCCACGCAACATCATATGTTATTCATAACCAGCAATAGAAAACAAATTGTCTACTGTTGCCTTTTCAGCAGATCTGAGTGTTAAGGTAAAATCTCAAATAATAATGGTGGGTCTGGTGTCAAAATATTGAATGTGATCAAAGTAGAGAGAGAGTAATGTGGAAATCATCTGCCCCACAGGTAGGGGGAGGGTGAGGAATGGGGTATACTGGGATTGTTGGGAGTGGAGAATGAGCACTGGTGAAGGTACTGGTGTTTCATCGTATGACCGAGACTTAGACCCGAAAGCTTTGTAACTGCTCTCATGGTGATTCAATAAGTAAAATTATAAAAAATGAAAAAAAAATAAGGTGGAGTTCATGCACAGTTCAATCAGCTAATCAGTCGCTGAATAAATAGCATTACTCCTACATAAAAAAAAAGAAGTTGTTGAGTAGTAAGTAGGTGAAGTTTGAAAAAAACAATTATCTGAAGACCCAGATGGAGAAGTTTGATAAGAATGCCTTCTGGTTTTGCTGCCACCTGTTCCCAAAGAAATGGTACTGATTGCCAGAGAATGGGCAATGTGAGAAAAGTTATTACAGTTCTCCACTTGACTGGGGCACAAAGTATCCCATTCTAGTTAGATTATATTTCTCCACAGTCTACAGTTTGTGAAGTGACCTCTCTACCTAGGGTCTACCAAATACAGTAGAGGTATGCTGCTTTATTGTTTATTAAAAGCATTGTAGTTAGCAATGTTCTCTGTGATCACAGAAAATAATACAGCAGATCAGAGTTTCAAAACTGCCTCCCTTAAAGTTAAAATGAGATTAGCACAAGTAACGGCTGTATAGGAGGAAAAAAAAAACACCAATGCCTGTGCATCCAAAGACGCAGATCCTGGAAAGCAGGACTTGGAGGGAGCAAAGGAGCTCTGAACCCTCCCTGACAGTCTCGGCAGGCCTCTTAGGGTAGGACTTGACTGCACTGGTATCATTTTACAGTACTATAGAATTGGGGGGTGGGTGTCTAGCATTACACACCTTTGTGTGTAAAAAAAAAACACACGAAACACCAAAGTTTCAATGCCATCCCAACCCCAACAGACCTCCAATCCCCCAACTTCTAGGAGCAGTTTATTGCTACTTTTATTCGGTTTTGCTAGTTTGCTTGCTTTACCTTTTGTCTGCCATCTAGGATTGAAATCACCCAGGCTTTGTCTTACTCTTCTCTTCTCTTTTTACTCCTCTTAGCATAATCACCTTAATCCCTGTCCATTTTGTCCTCAACGGCATGATTTATTCCTTTCTCTTTTCTTTCTTTCTCCTTCCTTCCTTCCTTCCTTCCTTCCTTCCTTCCTTCCTTCCTTCCTTCTTTCTCTCATGTCAGAGTAGTATTTTGCTGGTTATATATATATCCACAATTTTTTGTTGTTTGCTTTGTCTTGGGGCATGCCTGGCAATACTCGGGCAGTGACTCAGGGAAGCATATATGGTGCCAGGAATCAAAGTCAGGTCAGCTGTATGCCAGACAAGTGTTTTACCTGTTCTCCTTTATCTCCATTCCCCTACCATAACTTCTATATCCAGCCATCTTTTGAGAAAACTAAGCTTGATTCCATGTTTATCTATTGGAACTTGTATTTCTATGAACACAGGGTGCAAATATATTTTTTGGATTAATATTCTTCAGATATATGCCTAAGAGTATTGCTCTTGGTTTGCATAGAACTTCCATTTGATTGTTTTGGGTGGAAGGGGGTTCTTCATACCATCTTCCTTAGAGACTGTACTATTGAATATCTTTTTTGTTTTAACTTTTTACCTTAAAATTCTTTTAATCAAGAGAAAAGTGGCAGAATAAAGCAAAGTACACTGTTATATATACATCTCGAGTCACTATTAGCTGACATGTTTACTCTGTTCTCTCGATTTCTTCCCTCCTCTCCCAAAGCCAAAAATCAAGGACTATCTTACACAGCCTCAGTAAAATGATTACATTCAGAACAATTTTACATGGGCAGATTAACCAGTGTATAGGGTTGAGAATTTTTTGCCAATTGTTCCAATAATGTCCTTAATAGTATTTCCCGCCTGATTCCAGATCTGACAGTTTCCTATGTCAGTATAGCTGTATCCTCTAACAGCTGAGGTTAAGGGCTACAGCTAACTTCATCAAGCCTGATACTGAAGGCATGAAAAGTATGTGCTTCAGCCCTTTGAGCTCTTTTCCTGGTCTTTGGTTTTCTTTGTGATCAAACAGTTACTTGGGTAGTTTTGGGTTTTGGGTTTTGGGATTTGTTGTTGTTGTTGTTGTTGTATTTTATAAAACTAGTATTTTTGAACAATATAGCCCAAGTCTTATTCCCAGCTTGATTGAGATTATTATGTATTCAGGGCAAAAATACTATGTGACGAATGTTCATAGAGCAGTACATTAATAGGTTCATGGTTGTTTGTTTGTTCCACTGACTGAACAATTTGTTAAGGAGATGTCTGCCTTATTTCCCCTTTTATAATTAGCAAATAACTCAGGAGGAGGTGGTAGTCAACATTAAATTTCAGCATCCTTTCATGTCCATTGCCTGATTCAGTTTCTGCTTTGATTGAAATAGTGATTTTTTAACCCTCAATCTACCTTTACATTAATTAGTTAGAATGAAATTATAAAACAACAGTTTTCTCTTCCACACTTTATGTATTTTTATTTTTTTATATATTTGTGAACATCAGTATAGGCTTTCAGGTTTTCATGCTACTACTGCTCCTACTTTCCTCAACAGGTGCCATTCATTTCATTCCTATGTTTGACTTGGTCACATCCGTGTATGAGTATCATTTATTCTTTGTATTTTGCATATGTTTATTATTCAAGTCGCTGCCCAAATGACAAGTTTTATTCATTTATTTATGGGTTTGGGTTTTTTTGTTTTGTTTTGTTTTTTTGGCACTGGAGGTTTGGGGTCACACCTGGTGGTACTCAGGGCTGACTCCTGGCTTTGCATTCAGGGATCACTCCTTGCATGGTTGGAGGACCATATGAAATGCTGGGGACTGGACATAGGTCTGCCGCATGCAAGGCAAATTCCCTACCCACTGAACTACCTCTCTGGCCCTGACAGGTTTTATTTTTGCAACAAATCATTTTTTTGTGTTCCTACTACATTCCAGTTACTGATGCTACTCATGGTCCTCTGGGAAAAGATAATTAAATTGTTCTCTCTAGCCCATGGTTTATTACAGAGGGCACCATAGACAAAGTCAAGTTCTTTTTCCACTGGATCAGCTAAGAAAAACCCTTGGGAGAAGGTAAACTACCTTCTGGACTTAATGAAAAGGAGTGAATGTAAGGAGAAGGAACAGTGTTTTCAGACTAAGGGAAGCACATACCTATTATGGGGAATTCCCATTCCCAAAGGAGTCTGTCTGGGCTGTAAGGAGTAAGGAACTTGCCTTGCATGTGGCCAACCCTGGTTTAATCGCCAACACCCCCTATGGTCTCCCAGAGCACACCAGAAGTGATCAGAGCCAAAAGTAAGTCCTGAGTAAACCCTGAGCTCAGCTGGGTGTAGCCCAGAAAACAAAACACAAAGGACCTTGTTAGGGAAACCAACAATAGGTCTCCTCCCAAATCAATTAATTCAGGTTTTTGTGAAAAAAGGAGGTCATTGAGGAATGTCATCATTGTCCTAGAGTTACATCCTTCCAAAGTAAAAAAAAACCCTTAAAGATGCTTTTCTTTTTTTTTTAGGATTTTGACCTCAACAATGAACTAAAGATGAACGTCTTAAATTTGCTAGAAGAAGTTTTGCGAGACCCAGATCTTCTTCCCCAAGAAAGAAAAGCCACAGCGAATATCCTGAGGTAAAGGCAGTGACAGTCATCTGCAGATCTGTGCAGTATTCAGAGAGGATGAGGTCCTATCTCACCAAAAGCATGCATCACAGAACCTCGGACTAGCAGGGTATCTGCTCTCCCAGGGAAGGTGTGCCTATTGCCTTCTCTGTCCTGGAGGTAGATGAGGCCCAGCCGCCTTAAGAATAGGCCTGGGTGACAGAACATGTAAGGTTGCCCCTTTGTATGGACAGACAGTTGTCTGTTGCGGAACCAAAAGTCAAAGGGAGGCATCCTCAAGGAAGTTTTCTTGTGATTCTCCAGCAGGCATTACACAAGTATCTCCCTCTACCCACCTCTCTCAACTAGGTTCTCCTTCATCCTAAATTCACAGTTATGAATAGAGTAGGAGAGTTTCAGCGGAGTTTGTGCACCTGACTTGTGAATGTATCACCATTAAAACTGCTGAAATTTTTTTCATCTCTTTCACTAATTGGAGATCAACTTTATTGCCAACTTTTCAGATGGGAGTTTCCACATCATGTAGATCATATATAGTTGGTGCCTGTGTTTCTATATCATCAAAGCTGGAACTTTGACTTTCCCCCTGGAGACTGACTCTGGGTTACAGTCAGTATCCAAGCACATCACAAGCTTTCTTCTGGTGGGTTTTTTCCCAATGCATTCTCCTTGAGCAGCGTCTTCTTTGGCCTTATTTAGAAATTTCGGTCACTTCCCAGTTCATTCATGGCCATGCTATCCATCCTTAGTTAGAAATGGGACATGTACCATCTCTGTGCTTCATCTTTGTTCATCTTTGCCATCTGACTTCTAGTTCCCTCCTCAGGTGCAATATCTGAAAATAATTATTTTTTCCAAACAGGGATACATATTTCTTTTAAATCAAGGTACTTGATTTGGAAAGGGGTCCGTTTAATTCACTCCATCCCATATTTCTGAAAGTCACTTGCGAATGGCACCGATATCATACTTTACTCTGACACAGCAGTAACTTGTTATTCTTAGTCCTATTAGCTCAAGGTCCCATGATCAGATCCCTATTTGGTCTAGAAGTTGCCACAGATTGAATTGTTGTCTCACCGCACACCACTTTCCTCCTAATATGTTGAAGTTCTAACTCCCAGTACCTGCATTTGAACATTGAAAAGGGCATTGCAGATATCATAGTAAGATGAGGTTATGCTGGAGCAGGATGGCCCTTTAATCCAAATACATTTAAGTCAAGTTGTTGTGAGCTAGAAGCATGAATCCTATCCTTATTTATTTTTTATTTTATTTTCATAAAGTTGTTCAGAATAGTTGATTACATTCAATATTTCAACACCAATCCCACCACTGTTTCACCTTCCCACCGCCATTATTTCGCAGTGTCCCACCACGACTTAAGCCTGCCCAACAGGCAGACGCTAGGTAATTTATTATGTACTGCTTGTTATGAATAGTATAAGATGTCTGTGAGGGTCTGTCTCAAGGATTCAACAAAAGGAAAAAAATAAAGCATGGGATGTCACATGGCTGCAAAAGCTCTCCTGGGAATCTAAAATTATTTTAATTGGGGTTTGGAGCCATCTCTGCAGTGAGTGCTCTGTTCCGAGGTTGATTTGTGATCACTGTCACGGTCCTCCCGTTGTTCATCAATTTGCTCGAGCGGGCCCAGTAACATCTTCATCATGAGACTTGTTGTTACTGTGTTTGGCATATCGAATGCATCATGGGTAGCTTGCCAGGCTCTGCTGTGCGGGCGAGATACTCTCGGTAGCTTGCTGGGTGGAGAGGGGCGGAGGAATAGAACTCGGGTCGGCCATGTTGACCACTTGTAAGGCAAACGCCCAACCACTGTGCTATCACTCCAGCCCTGATTTGTGATCATGGACATTAATGTGCTTAAATGGTTTCTGGAGGCAGTTCGTGGCATGACAGCCACGAGGAGCCGGGAGGTGGGAAGGGGATGGCCCAGTCCCAGACCCAGGAGACCTGGTGTTTTTAGTCACTAGTCCTGCATACCTGGGTTTTTCAGTGTGAATCCCATCTTTAGACATATACTACATTAATAAGAGGAAAGTGAAGCTTTCTGAGATGAGCTGTTTCTGCATCACAGGGCTCTCTTTGTAAAGGAATGCTTACTGGGCCTGGAAAGACTATTGCCCTGTTTGTGAATAAAATTCACTGTCAAGATTGCATTTCTAAAATGCTTCCTTCAGAGAGAGAACAAAAGGAAATGCCCTGCCACAGAGGCTGGGGATGAGGGTGGTGTCGGGGGAAATACTGAGATCATTGGTGGTGGAGAATGGGCACTGGGGGAGGGATGGGTAACTGATCATTGTATGTCTAAAACGCAAACATGAACGTTTGTAAGTATGTAACAGTACCTCATGGTGATTCACTAATAAAAAAGTAAAAAAAAGAAAAAAGGAAAAAGAAATGAAGTATTAAAAATAAATAAAATACTTCCTTCCCCATGGCATTGTTTAATTCACTCATCCCTAAAATTCTGCAGTGGAAATTCTTTTGTTGACCAGCATTTTTCAATCTTTTACTGACCATGCTCCTTTCCAACCTTGTTTCCTTACTGTGACCCCTTTCCTTCTTGTTGACCCCTTTGTCTTATGCTATGCCCCTTGCCAATTTGTTCCATTTTATTTGTGGATCCCTTGAAATTCCCTGGGGGCACACAGGGAGCCATATGGCCCCCAATTGAAAATGGTATTTTTTCTCATACACACATATGTGTCACAACTCACAACACACACACACACACACAGTGACCAACTTCCTGAATAGTCAACTGTACTAGGCTCAACCCATGAGAACACAGCCCTCCAAATATCACAAAGCCCTAAATAGTATCCACAGGTTACAGTGAAGGGAGAAATCTTAGATAGCAGAACTAGACTATACTTAGGGCATTAGGGCTAGACTTTCGCGAGAGAAGAACATTTGATAGAAGCTAAGAACTCCCTAGTATTTCTTTCTGAGAGAAGGATATTGCCCAGCCTCATAAAGAGGATCTTTTCTACAAGCACACATCATGATGTGTCCTCTGGGCTATCTTCGGGAATCTAGACTCTAATGGAAAGAATGACAAACACTCTGGGAAAGAATCTCTGGTCTCCACTATGCATAACCCTTTGGTGGGACTTAACCAATTGGGGAGAAAGAGCTATTACTTTCTTTTTTCCTCATTTTAGTCTGCCCTTGACCCTATGCGAATTATAGGTCTTGATCACAAATGACATAAATCAACACGAGAATTATAGTCAGTCTGTAAGGATTCTGTTCCTGGCCAACAGTCAGGCATTTTTGTAAGAGAGGAGGGAATACGCATGTTTGATGTGTTCTGTGCTGGAGCCTTGAGGTGCCTTTTATGAGTCTGCTTAAAGAGCCACACAGACCAGCAGGACAGTGAACTCCACTGAGCCTGCCCCTGGGCAAGTTTCTTTGCATTTTTATGTCCATATCTGTATAACCCCATGCTTAATGAAAGGGTCGCCCCTAGCCTTTGTCAGGATTGCTGTTTTAATGTCTGGGGAAGCCTCTGCCCTGGTTGCAATGCACTGCAGTTCATACTTGTGCTGCCGGAAATCACAATCCAACAATGTGGTGCAGTACCAGGGATCAAACTGCTGACTTCAGGCATGCAAGACCAATGCTCTGTGTGCAAGTGGAACAATTAAAGGGTGCAGTCCTCTTCAGCTAACAAGATGGCAGGCCCTGGGGGCAGGAGACCAACTTCTTGGCAAGCACATATATGAGCACCGCAAGTAAAATGATCCCTAGTAAGTCTATATGTAACCCCTAGAAACTAAAAGAGTATAACCATAGCAAACAGCATTACCAACGCATAAAGAACAAAATATGCAAGCAACATAAACAAGCTTATATGCAATAATATTCACAGAAAAGGGAAGGAAGGAAAGAAAACTACCAGCCCCCCCTCCCTATTTTAGTAACTCCAAACATTTAGTAACATTTAGTAACTCCAAACATTAGGGCTAGAGCGATAGCACAGCGGTAGGGCGTTTGCCTTGCACACAGCCAACTTGGCCGACCCGAGTTCGATTCCTCTGCCCCTCTCGGAGAGCCCGGCAAGCTACTGAGAGTATCTTGCCCGCACGGCAGAGCCTGGCAAGCTCCCCGTGACGTATTCGATATGCCAGACACAGTAACAACAAAGTCTCCAATGGAGACGTTACTGGGCCCGCTCGAGCAAATCGATGATCAACGGGAGGACCTTAAAAAAAACATTTAGTAGATGCTCTTTGAATTCACAACTCTTTTCATTATCTTTCCCGTTTATTTTTTCCTTTTCTTTTTGTAAGGCTTATTGTGTAATCTTGAAAGTAGTCCTGATTTAAAAAAAATAAAAGGCAGGTGCTCTACCACTGAGTCACATGCCTGGGCTCTTGAAGTATGACTTTTTTCGTTTATTTCTTCTGGAACCTCCCAAGTGATGTCCAGGGGACTTGGGAAACTCCAGGCAATTCTCAGCCAATGAGTGTAGTGGTTCATGTGAGGGCCTGATGATGCAGTGCTGTCCAGGCCTCGCGGTCCCAAGGGTCACCCAAGCCACCTAAATAGTACTTGGGTGGAGGGATTTTTAAAAAATATATTATAGATAGCATGTGTGAGATTATTACCACTTGTATCTGGTGAACAGACAATAAGTAACTCCTCTGCTTGTTTTGTAATTTTGAGGATGGCAGTTTTTTGTTTGTTTATTTTTACTTTTTTTGTTCTGTTTTGACTTGGTTTGGGGTCACATGCAGCTGTGTTTAGGGCTTACTCCCAGCTTTGTGCTCAGAAATCACTCCTAGCCAGCTCAGGGAGCCATCTGGGGTGCTGGGTATTGAACCTTGGCTTGGCCAGTGCAAGGTAAATGCTCTGTACATTATACTATGACTTTGGCCCAGAAGTTTTGTTTAAATCCTTTCAAAACTGACCAAAACAATGCATCCTGATTTCTTCTAAAACAAGCTTATTCCAGCAGACAGTCTACATGTTTTGGGACCACATAAGTGATTCTGCCATCATTTCGGAAAACACCAAATGCTTAGCCCAGATGGCAAGTTATAAGATCAATAGCACTCTCCTAGGTTCTGAACTTGTGTTGACTGTGAAATTTTGTTCCTACTCTAAAACTAGCATTCACTTCAGTGTTAACTTGTGTATGTATATTTTCATTTATTCTTTACTTATCAAAAACAAAAAAACACTGATAGGTGAATAACATTGCTTCCGCATTGATATAGCACCTCATGCATCGCAGGCAAAGTCACCTGAGAAGCGTGGGGAAGAGCTTGCCTACTGGCCACTGTGTGGGCATATTGAAACACTATCGCTCTGTGCATCTGGTCTCAGTCTGCACAGTGAGAGTGATTCTGTCCTCCCTGATTTAGCGTCTGTAGTGACAGGCCATGTTAGGGCTTAGAGGATGGACATTCAGCCTATCAGAGACCCTCCTGATTATGTTATAAAGTGCCCACATTCCACCACCAGTCCCTTCACTTGGTACCAATCCACAGTTGTAGAAATGTTGAAAACTACTGGTCCTCTAACTGGTTTCTAAGTGTCAGTCCATGGACCTGTATACAAGACATGGGCTGGCCTACGAGTTTAAGAAGATTGGAGAACATTGGGCTAGACCCTTCACTCGAGCCCACCCAGCTCACCTCAGGCTTTCTCTGATATTGGGTTTGTTTATTTAGTTTTATTTGTTATTATTACAGCCTTTAAAAAGATACTTATGTTTTAACTTCTTGTTATGATCTCTTGCTACAATTTCTTGTTATGATCACAATGGCCCTCGTATGTCTTTACGTGTAGTTCTCTGTTTCTGCAATCCCTTGCCTCCAGCTGCACAACACAGCCTCAAGCTCAAGTCTCTCCACTTCCCACCCAGGAGATCCAGACTGCATTTGGTCAATTTGTACCTACTTTTTTCTCATGGCAGATGTTGGTTGGTTTTTTTTTAGGGTCCTTTCACAAGATGATCAAGATGACATCCACCTAAGATTAGAGGATATAATTCAGCTGGTAAGTTCAGCCTCAGTCTTATTTAGCCCAGTTAATTATGTGCAAACTATCTGATGGAAGACAGGGTGATAAAACTGATCACTTGCAGATTTGAGTTGTCATCAACACGACTCTAAGATGTGAACCAAATTTGGCTGGGGGTGGGCAGTTGGTGCAGGATATTAGCATTGTCTGCTGCTACTGAGAATTACTGTGTTCTTTCATACCCAGGCAGGCTCTAGATTTCAGCTACTGAGGTGAGCTAATGGCATCTTTTCCTGCTTGTTTCATTCTCCACACTTACTCTTGCAGACAGACTGTCCAAAGGCTGAGTGCTTTGAGACCTTATCTGCCATGGAGTTGGCTGAGCAGATCACTCTCCTGGACCATATTATTTTCAGAAGCATCCCCTACGAGTGAGTGCCTCCCCGTTTTCCAGGCTTAGAGTTGACTCTTCAGAAGGCAGTTGCGTGTGAATCTTCATTATAAAGTGGTTGCTTCCAGTTCATGTTGGAAATGCTGATCTGCAAATACTGAGTAGTCATAAGACATTGCCACTGATATTTCTCTGTGTATCACAGAACGTAAAGTTTTCTATTCTCTCGTGTCCTGTAATTTTCGGATCACAGAAAATTTGCTACAGTGGTAACAAGGTCTTTTGAACTTTAGTTTGCCTAAAATCACTTGGAAAACTTATTGAAAATGTACCTTCTGGGACAAAGAGATGGTTCAATGGATTGGAGTTTAAGTTATGTGTGCCGGAGACCTTGGCTTATTTCTTGGGTGCTGTATGTCCCCCTAAACACTGCTGGAGTGACCCCAAGAATCATACTGGGAGTAGCCTTTGAGGTTTGCTGTGTGTGATGGGGGGCTGGGGGGAGTATACACTTGCCTTTGAAATTCTGATCTCGGTAGGTCAGAGGTCAGGAGGAAACCCTGACTATAGTCAGGTGTGGCCCAACACCTCGCCACAAAAGAAAGAAACATTTTTTGATAGGGGTTGATTTTTGGTTCAAATCTAGTTCTCAGGAATACTCCTGGCTCTGTGCTCAAGGGTTGCGCCCACTGGTGCTCCGATGAGAATAAGTGGTCCCAGGGATTAAACCAGGATTGGCTGCATGCAAAGTAAGTAAGTGTGCTAGCCCCTGTACTGTCTGTTTGGCCCCAAGAACTATTTTCATGACACAACTAATTTCAGATAATTCTGAGTCATTGAATACTACGCTTTGAGAAATACTGGTAAGAAATAAAAGCTGTAAATTCTGTTGCAATTTTTCACCAATGATTAGAAATTCACAAATATTGCTGAGTTTTGGATAATACTTTGAAGAATCATAAACACATTACCTAGACTTTTGTTTTCTTATATAGAGAATGAGGAGAGTCTTACTAAGGGGAGAACAAGCAAAGTCTTTGGACAATTAACATCTGTTGGCATGTTTCCTTTATGAGTGGATAACTAAAGTGAAAGGAAGGTGAGAATTAGGCAAGAGAGATGAATGTGGTCCATGTCACATAAGGAATGACATCCTCAATGACGGAGGGTCAGGCAGGCCAGGTAGTTGGCCAGAGGCTGGCTAGAAAGTCTGGGTTTCTGTCATATCAGAGAGGTAGAAGGGGTCAGGCCAGAGATGCAGCCACAGATTTTTTTCTCTATGTGTTTTATCCTCTCTTCCACTCGACCTATCCATGAGCACAAGGGAAAGAACTGTGACCCACTAACCCTCCAAATAAACCTTGTAGCTATTTGAAGAACTTGAATTAGAAACCAAAAGGGCTTCTGTTCTCCCCTCTACCCCTATTCCACAGCTGTTCTTCACCCTGCCTTCTGACCCCCTCAAGAACAAGAGGATGGAGGAGGGAGGACAATGGGGAATAAAGAGCAAAATTCCAACCTACGTGGTTCTTTGGGTGTGTGTTCTCTTCCCAGGACCCTCTCGCCTGTCCTTCCTGGGCCCAATATGCCAAAGTGAACCTCTGCCAGTGACTTTCCTCCATTGGGCTAGTCCCTTAGTGCCATTAGACCTGTGTAGTCAGCAGCCCCACCAATGTCAACAGACAAAGATCCAAGTGGCCAACCACCTGCTCACCTGATCCTCTGTCATTGTGGATGTCATTCCCTATGTGACATGGACCCTATTCATCTCTCTTGCCTAATTCTCACCTTCCTTTCACTTTAGTTATTCGCTCATAAAGGAAACGTGCCAACAGATGCCATTTGTCCAAACAAAGACTTTGCTTGTTCTCCCCTTAGAAAGACTCCTCTCGTTCTCTATGTAAGAAAACAAAAGTTTAGGCAATGTATTGATGGTTCTTCAAAGACAATGATCCATGTCAGCATCATTTTATTCAGTTATTAATTTATAGTGCCTATCCAACAGATGTTCTGTAGGTCCCTTCTTGGTTAGCTGTTGCTTATTGTGATCTGGTGACCTGTTTGTGAGAACAGTGAAGGAGCAGGATGTTGCCCAGCAGTTTCATTTCCCATGGCCCTCACTGCTTCCACCCATTAGCTAGCTGTGAGGTGGTAATGGAGCGAGTTTTTTTATTTGGTTCTTCCCCCTTATGCTACTCTGTGCTATGGGGAGAACAAAGGAAAAAATCTTGTCCATAACCCTCACATTTTCCTGGAAAATGGCAGAGAAAAGTGAAGTATAACATGGTGTTCTTGAATCAAAGTTTTGGTAGTGAAGAGATTGTTTAGACCTTTTGCTAAGGCTTTAAATCTTTGAAAGTAGACTGGGAGCAATAGTTTCAGTCTCTCTTCTGCTTGTGGTCATTGTTTTCCCACAGCAGTGAAGCCTTTATAATGATCTGAATAGAGATCCAAACATTTAGAGGAGAAAGCTGAAACTTGAGCAATATTTGTCTCTTTGGCATTGAGAAATGAAATGCTAGTGTGAGCTAAAGTAACTCGCTTGAAGTAACCTGCAGAAACAGGTGCTGGGCAAGGTCAGGTTTCATGCCTAAGAATCATTCACAATAATCATCCGAAATAGCTGTCACCATTTTTTAAGAAAGGTAGTTGATTTTTATTTTATTTTGAATTTTCAGAGAGTTTCTTGGTCAGGGATGGATGAAATTGGATAAAAATGAGAGAACCCCGTACATCATGAAAACCAGCCAGCACTTCAATGATGTGAGTAATCGTAAAGTAAACCAGCATGTGTCCCAGAAAGATGGATAGCAAGCTCTTAAAATACTTCTAACAGCAAACAAATCTGCCACCCATATTTCAAATCTGCCACCCAGAACTAAGGAAATGGTAAAAACTAATATATCTCCCATCAGAGATTAACCATATCTGGTTAATTAACCATATTCGGTTAATTTCTGCATGGACGAGGTTGGCCTTAGATGGTACCAGGTCTGGTCAGTGCTCTGTAATGTCTAAGCTGCTGCCTTCATGCTCACATGCTCAATCTTTCACAGTCACACGTGAGTATTTACAGAATGAGTGGCACATGTGTCACTGGCTCCCAGCGATGCCAGTGACAGCAAGGTAGGGTTGGTGCGTCTCTTCATTATCACTCAAAATTTTGCTCCAATACATTGCAGGATAGAAAGGGACCACGCAGAGCATGATACGAGACCATTGCTATCTATGCTGACCTTAGTGTCTCACCCTGCTCTGATTCTTTCCAGCAGTAAGCTTCAGTTGATTTATACCCGTCTCCCGTCATCCTGGGTGCCAAGGTGCCTTATACTCAGGACGATTATTGGTTGTTCTATTTGATATCCTGCATCAGAAATACTGTCTGCTCCATATTGGGTTATCCATACAAAACAATGTTTGAGTGAAGATCCATAATGATAGCTCTGAGGCACTGTGAGGTCTAACTGTGGAATCATCAAAAATGGCTCTAGCTATCACATTTAGTGTATGACTTTAAGAATATAGACCTCCACATTCCTTTGCTAGTAATCCCTTTCTTTCTCTTTTCATATTCTAAGTGTTGAACTTTTGAAACCACCTCTCTACCTCTTAGCTTTAAGAAAATTACAGTGTGGATAAAGTCTAACTGCTGGTTGAAAATCCAGCAAGATGGAGAGAAAATGTTTTCACCTACATCTAAGTATTTCTAGTTTAAGAGTTGACCTGGTTAGAATGTTGTATTATCGGCGGTAAATTGTGTTTTGTTTGACTGTCTCCCACACTGGTGGCAGGTGGAGGCAAACAGGGGCATGTGGGGAGACCCCAAGAGGCCAAACCCATGACCCACAAAGGTTGTCATTCCTCTGGGCTTAACGTGTTCCTCCACACTTCCTCAAAGATCACTGGCCATGATCCTTCCCTACTAAGTGCTGATCCACAAAATTGCCTCTTCCTCCAGGAAGCTGATTCCTAGCAGCCCCTCTTTTAACTCTAGGATGAACAGCTGCTCATTAGCTTGTGTGATTATTACAGCCCTTAGTCTGGGCTAAATGTGTCTAAATAGGGATTGTGATCACCACAGCCTGGTCTTTTGCCCGAATGAGCAGCTATGGCTCTCAGCCGCCTCTCTGGGTTTTCTCCTTGTTTCAGATGAGTAACCTGGTGGCCTCACAGATCATGAATTACGCTGACGTTAGCTCCCGTGCCAATGCCATTGAGAAGTGGGTGGCTGTTGCTGACATTTGCAGATGCCTGCACAACTATAACGGTGTGCTGGAGATCACCTCAGCCTTAAACAGAAGTGCCATCTACAGGCTGAAGAAAACTTGGGCCAAAGTGTCGAAGCAGGTGAGCACCAGCAGGCTCCAGAGTATAACTCATGGTGGTGAGAAGGGGGTGGGCTGGGACATGAGAGCCAAGAGAAATATTACGCATTAGGAAATCATTAACTGGAATAAGCAGTTCGGCTGCCAAAGAAAGGTGCAAACATGGGCAAATTACTGGGTTCCTACCACTTAATTGACTCCGTGTGTGCATTTCAAAATGGCTAATTTAGTAAAGAAAAGAAAATCAAAATATCCATTAGAACATTGCAGGAGACACCCACGACAACATGGTTTAAAATCATATGGTCTCCTGCATTTTATAGCGAGGGCACGCTGAGTCCAAGTGAACACAATGGGACCCCGGCTCCATTCTTTCATCCTTTGTCCTCCAACATAAAGGACAAAAATGTCCTATGGTCATGATTCTTCTTCATTCCTATAAGTTTTTGGTTATGGCCTAATGACAGAAATAGCACTTTCTTTTTCTTCTTTTCAGTAGACTTACTTGCTTTGATGCCTGTCATTTTCAAGATTCCTAAGAAATCATAGTTTCTTTCTTCGATCTCTTGGGGCTTTCACCAAGGGTGCTGGGAAGCATTCTTGGGGCTGCTGGAAGCTGTCTGCAGCCCTGATGCTCCCCTGTCATCTTTGGCTGGTTGGTCATTGGGTACATCCAGCCAGCCTGACCTGTCCAGGATCAGTGTGTGGTGATTGCCTCAGGGAGCTCACAGCATTCCCCTCTGGTGGCCATTGATCCTGCTGACCCTTTGACTTTGTGTTTATATTGTCTGGAGATAATTGGGGGACCATATGGTGCTAGGAACTGAACCCAGGGTGAATGCATAGTAGGTATGCATCTTAACTGCTGTACTATCTCCCAGGTCCTAAAATAATTTTGATTTTTTTGTTTGGGGACTTTCTCAGGCCTTACTCCTAGCTCTGTCCCCAAGGATCACCCCAGGTGGGGCTTAGGGGATCATATGTAGTGCCAGGGATCAAACCAGAGTAGTTCACATGCAAGACAAGTGCCTTAATGTATACTATGTGTACTATGTGTACTATGTCTCCAGCCTCTGAAAAAATTTTTAACCTTGAAATAGTCATAGATTCACATGCTATTTAAAAAATAATAGAAAAATTCCCTATCCTACACCCAGATCCCTAGTAGAAATATCTCACATAATTGTAGATGATTCCCAGAAAATTAACTTCAGAAAATTAACTCCCTAGTAGTGCTCAGGAGCCTGAAAACTCAACTCTGATTATACTTGACTGGGCTTTGAGACCTGATGGTTCAAGAATTTTACTGTAAGTCCCAAACTAAATTCTCAGGCCAGTTTAACTCTTCCTTCCCCATAGGATTTTATCTCTTAAGTCATAATGGCTTGTATCAAGCCCATGCTTTTATGTTTTCTAGATTGTCCCGTTTTGATGCCAGGGTAGCTTTGCCACTAACCCAAGATCTATCCAGGTACTGTGGTGGGATGCTACCCACTCTCTCCCCAATTTTTGGCATGTTGGGAATTATAGCAACCTATGCCTGAGTCAAGTAATTATGACAGATGCCCAGGAGTAAATATATTTGAGTCAATGAACTCCCAGATATTAGGAGCATAACATTAACAGTCTTTCTGTGTTTAGGCAAAGAACATTGTTCTATAGTAAAATATGAAAAGTTATAGTTAAAAGTTATAGGGGAATAGAAAAGCAAGTAATTCACTTCAAATGCAAATTACAGAGTCACCTAAGTAACCAAAACTGGCTTGGGGAATTGTAAAGCACAAAGGAAAGGTTAAAAATAAACTCAGGGGATTAGGAGTACTCATAAAAGCGCTGTAACCTTCTCTGGGAAGAGGAAAAGGGACAATTCACTGATGAAGCCTAAAACAGTTAATATCCAACCATCTGTGTGTATAGGTCACTCAAAAATGTCTTCAACATTGGTATTTAACTGTCATCCAAAATCAAAGACTTGACTTTAATCATATTTGGTAGGGTCTGTTTGTCCCCTCCCCACAGTCTGCAAGATATCCCCAAGGTTTATTGGAATATTCACTCTGGAGCCCAATGACTTTTGTCTGTGACTGTAGCCAGATTACATTGCTACAGCCTCTTTGAGCTGAGGCCAACCCTAGGCCAGGCAGGAGGCCCATCCAAATTCATCCTAGCCCCGATCTTTCCACCCACATCCAGATCTTGCTGGTTGTTGTCTCTCAGCATCTCAGGAACTAGGGTGGGGAAGGCCCTTTGAATCCCTTTGAAAGCTCTTATGAAGTGGAGCATGTGCAGACCTGGCTGAGACAGAATCAAAGAAAGTGTCCTGGGCAGGAAGAGTTTGCTCCAGCTGAGTGGCCTGGTTTGTAGCCATCTTCCCAAAGACCAGCCTATCCCTCCTCCTGTATCCATGGAAGAAACTTCAGCCCAATGTCAAAACTTGTATTTCCTGATAACTGTAGTTGTACTTTTCCAACAAGTTGATGATGATCATAAAATAACTGACCTGGAGGGAAGAATATTGGTTGATATATTTGGCAAAGCAGTCAGATATGTACTTTGATGACAAGGAGATTAGCATTAAAAAAAGATGTCATGAAAACTGACTGAGCAACACCTCTCCTTTGAGATCCTTTCTTCAACATGTGCTTTTCTATTATTTGAGATCCCATGGTATTTTTTTCTGTACATTTTTTTCTCATTTTGGTTAATTGAGTAGTGTAGTCATTGTCTTTTCTCCAGCCTCTTTCTTTCTTTTTTTTATTGAAATAAATTTACTTAGAGAAGGGTGAGAAGAGAAAAAGAGGGGATACATGTATTCAAGACAGAACAGGAACTTTTCCAAAGGAAAACCCCTCTGCACCTTTTCCTTAAAGTATCATATATAAACCTAATGTCCCAATTCTTCATTTGCAAAGTCAGATCACATCACACAGTCATATCACAACAGTGGCAACAGTGCTGACATCTGTGATTGTAAAAGAGATTTTTTTCTTAAATTTTTATTAATGAAACACCATGAGGTACAGTTGTAGACTTACAAATTTTTGTGCTTGGGTTTCAGTTATACAATGATCGAATACCCATCCCTCCACCAGTGCCCATTCTCCACCACCACCAATCCCAGTATCCCTCCCACCCCCCATCCCCCCATCCCACCCTACCTCTGTGACAGGGCATTCCCTTTTGTTATCTTTCTCCTTTTGAGTGCTGTGGTTTGCAAAAGAGACATTGAGTGGCAATCTTGTTCGGTCTATAGTCTACTCTCATCACGCATTTCCCATGCTGAAAGGAACATCCCAACACCCTTTATTTGGTGCTCCCTTCTCTATCTGAGCTGTCTTTTCCCCTAGAGTGTGCGGCTGGCCTCCAAGCCATGGCATGAACCTCCTGGTACTTATCTCGGCTATTCTTGGGAGTTAGTCTCCTATTTTGTGACTTTATGTTCCCCAGATGAATGCAATCTTTCTCTGTCTGTCCCTTTCTTTCTGACTCATTTCACTTAGCATGATACTTTCCATGTAGTACCACTTGAATATGAATTTCATGACTTCATCTTTTCTAACAGCTGCACAGTACTCCATTGTGTAGATGTACCAAAATTTCTTTAACCAGTCATCTGTTCTTGGGCACTCAGGTTTTTTCCAGATTCTAGCTATTGTAAAAGTGCTGCAATGAACAAACAAGTGCAGATGTCACTTCAACTATACTTTTTTGCCTCTCTGGGATATATTCCCAGGAGTGGTATTCCTGGGTCAAATGAGAGCTCAATTTCTAATGTTTTGAGGATCATCCATACTGTTTTCCAAAAGGGCTGAACCAGTCAGCATTCACACCAGCAGTGAAGGAGAGTCCCTTTCTTGCCACATCCATGCCAGCACCAGTTGCTTTTGTTCTTTTGGATGTGGGTCAGTGTCTGTGGTATGAAATGATATCTCATTGTTGTTTTGATCTGCATCTCCCTGATGATTAATGAAGTAGAGCATTTTCTCATGTGCCTTTTAGCCATTCGAATTTCTTCTTTGAGAAAGTTTCTGTCCATTTCATTGCCCCATTTTGTGACTGTAAAAGAGATTTAAGTGTATTTTGGCAACTAATTTTTCAAGCCCTAGGCCTCCTTTTAGGACATAAGCTTTTCTTCTCTTCCCTTCCCTAGACAAAAGCTCTAATGGACAAGCTTCAGAAGACAGTTTCATCTGAAGGAAGATTTAAAAATCTCAGAGAAACTCTTAAAAAGTAAGTCCTCTTAATTATTAAATTATTCAAGGTAAGAAATGAATTTAAGTAATTTCACTGTTATACAAATACTGGCCTACATCCACTTTGTCTTGAAAAAAAGAAAGAGAAACCACTTCCAACATCTCGGTTTTTGTTTATTTATTTTGCTTTTTGGGTCATACCTGGCGATGCACAGGGGTTACTCCTGGCTCATGCACTCAGGAATTACTCCTGGCAGTGCTCGAGGGACCATATGGGATGCTGGGAATCGAACCCAGGTCAGCCATGTGCAAGGCAAACGCCCTATCCTCTGTGCTATCACTCCAGCCCTATCTAGGTTTTCTTGACTTTTCTATTCCTTCCTTCCTTCCTTCCTTCCTTCCTTCCTTCCTTCCTTCCTCCCTCCCTCCCTCCCTCCCTCCCTTCCTTCCTTTCTTCCTTTCTTCTTTTTAGTTTCTGGTTTTTAGGCCACACTTACCAGTACTCAAGGCTAACTGCTGACTCTGCACTCAGATATCACTCCCTTGGGGCTCAGAGAACCATATGGGATGCTAAACCTTCACGTGGTGTCATGTTAAGCCTTCACTTTCTACATTTCTAAAACACATTGTTATTCAAACAGAATTTTTTTTTTTTTTTTTTTTTTTTTTTTGCTTTTTGGGTCACACTGGCAATGCACAGTAGTTACTCCTGGCTCGCGCACTCCTGGCTGAATCACTCCCGGTGGTGCTCGGGGGACCATATGGGATGCTGGGAATTGAACCCAGGTCAGCCATGTGCAAAGAAAGCCCTACCCACTGTGCTATTGCTCCAGCCCCCAGAAAAAAAAATTTTGCAAGCTCTTATCACATTGCTTTTCCCCACTCAGTTCTGTAAGACCTAATATGTATACCTCAGCACGGTTACAGCATCAGGCTTTTCCTACACTGATTTTTAGTTTTTGGAGAAGTGTAGCCATTTTATTTCTTGCTACATTTGTTCTATATTTATCTCTAAAGCCTCCTGTTGTTGGAACATGCAATTGTCTCAAACACATTATCAAAGTGCAAGCTGTCTTTCATATTAATTCTATTATGAGATGTCTTTAAAACTGCCTATCATGATTGGATTTTGGGAACTGGAATGAAATTATTTTATTCTTTAGGCCAAACACGGCAAAGTTGCTTTATGTTTTAACTGGGGTGGGACATCTGCTTTGGTGTGAATGCATCTGAGAACAGTGACGCTTGTTCTTACAGTTGCAACCCCCCAGCTGTCCCGTACCTGGGCATGTACCTGACGGACCTGGCATTTATTGAAGAAGGAACACCCAACTTTACTGAGGAAGGCCTTGTCAATTTCTCCAAGATGAGAATGGTAAGTGGGAATTTTATATCAGCCCATTTCAATGACTTCAGTGCCTTTGGGAGGGATTAAATCCAGGATCTCACTGTTTACTTTTCAATCTCGAGTTGATGAGACGAGGGACGTGAGGTCTAATACTTGATATTGGTTTATGGAGGGGTGATTGGACAAGGCCATTTCAGCTTGAAGTCTGGACAGAAGAGGTGGAAAATCTAGCCCCAGGGATGACATTTAAACACAGATCAAGTATAGAGAGGAACTGAAGGCACTTGTTGGACAACTGGATTCTGAGAAAAGTTAGAAGTAAGGAGGCTATGGGTAATAACTCCCTCAAAAGGCAAAACCTGAGGTCACCCAGTGTAAACTGTTCCCCAACTGTGAATTCTGTTAACATTATTCAGTTCACTGAAAGGTAAGAAAGATGTGGATACCAAGAATAACTGCAGGTCCAGCTCCCTCCCTGAAGAAAGTAATGGCAAGTCCGAGAAGGGGCCCAGAGAATGTGCTGCAGGATGGGGAAAGACCTTTGCTTTGATCTTTTGCTTCTCTTTTAGATATCACATATCATCAGAGAGATACGTCAGTTTCAGCAGACTTCCTATCGAATAGACCATCAACCAAAGGTAATGTGGTGTGCTTGGAAAGGAATGAATTTTGAACTAATGAATTCAAAACAACAAGTTGGTCAGTAATACCAAAAACTGAGTCACAAAATAGATATCTCTTTGGCAAGTCAGGAAGGGAGGAAGGGAGGAAGTAGAGGAGGGAAGGAAAAAAGGGAAGGAGGGAGGAAGGAAGGAAGGGAGGAAGAGAGGGAGAAAGGAAGGAAGGAAGGAAGGAAGGAAGGAAGGAAGGAAGGAAGGAAGGAAGGAAGGAAGGGAAGGAAGGAGGAAATTTTTGTTGTTGGTTTTGGAAGACCTTAAGAATATAATTTAAAGATTATGAAAGATAAGCTTGATAAAATGTGTTGTATATCAAAATTCACAATGACAGGGGAAAATGATTTAAAATATAAAAACGTAAGCATCATACTAGGAAAGAATATTTGTAACATAAAATAAAGATAATAAGTATTTCTATAAATCTATTTTTAAAAATCATAAACAATGTAAAAAAAGGCAAGGGTTTAAATAGGTAATTCACAAAAGAAGAAAAAAATGACCATTTCAAGTATTGAAAAATGGTCAGCTTTACTGTAAGACACATTGCTAAGGGCATTATTTTTATCAATCATACAAAAAGGTAAATGTTGATTTTAAATAACTCAGTACATTTAAGCAAAGGGATAGTATTCAACTATAAAAAGGATGAAAATTTTGCTATTTGCTGCAAGTCAAGGAAGTCAATCAAGGGGATTAGTGCGGTGAAGTAATTCAGAAGGAAAAAGGTGAATATTAGATGATTTCAACTATATGTGTAATATAAAAAGATAAAAACTGATGAAAAGATAAAACAAGACAAGCCAGTGGACTCTGATAATAAACCTAAGGCTATCTGAGAAGGGGGTAGGAGGAAGGGTGTAAAAAAATAGAAAATGGTTTCTTAAAAATTCCTATTTTTTGGTCTTATTTATAGAAATTTTAAAGGCATATTCTGCTCACATTCCAACACATTAAAAAATTCACATTTAAGAAACAAAATAAAATAAAAGATTAATTATCTCAAGTGTTTATTAGAACGTGGAATAACACATAACAGCAGTTTAGGAGGTCTCTTTACATAGTTAAAAATATACTAAGCAATTGGAACTGTCATAATACATTGGTAGAGATTAATAAATATGTATATATATCAACTATAATACACTAGTAATTAGAGTAACACGATACAACTCAATATCATTTGACAATTTCTTAAAATTTTAAAAATACATCTATATTATGATCCATGAATATTTCCTATTTATCCCTAGGAGAAATGAAAACATGCCCATTAAAAGTTGTGTTTAGAATGGTCCTCCCAGCATCAGCTTTACTGTACAGCAGGTCGTACAGCTGACCTGGGTTCATCCCCAGCACCTGGGTTGCCAGAAGTGATCCCTGAGTGCAAAGCCAAGAGTAAGCTCTGAGCACCACTGGGTGTGCCCCCAATAATAATGAAATAAATACTAATGAATGATAAAATAAAATGGTTATTGCATTTCTTTTTGTTGTTGCTGTGGTGGTTTTATTTAAGGGCCGCACCCACAGGTGGTTCTCAGAAGCTACCCCTGGATTGTTGCTTGGGTGGCTTCTGCCAGCGCTCTGGGAGATTTATATTGGTGGGACTGAAGCTGGCATTCCATGTGGAAATAGGTCCTTTGAGCCATGCTCCCATCCCTTCATTTCTTAATCATAGCCTCAAAATTGGCTCAGGTGTCCACCAGCACATGAATTTATAATCAAATTGTGGAGTGTCTGTACAGTACAGTACCATTCAGCGATGAGATGAGACAAGGGACCTTTTCGAAATAAATGCATTCCAATATGCACTGAGTCAAAGAATCTAGACAAAAAAAGAACACACAGAGAAGGATTCTATTTCTTTGACAATTCTGGAGGAGTTAAAACTAATCTGTGGTGTTAGGAATCAGAACAGTGGTTGCTCTGTGATCAGGCTGAATGAGAAGCTGCACAAGGGAACTCTGTGGTAATGGGTTTTGTTCTCTGGGGTGAGATATATCTATATAATTTGTCATTGTGGGGTATGCATTTGTCAATACATTATGCTCAGGGATTAGTCCTGGCTCTGTGCTTAGGACCTACTCCTGGCTCTCTGATCAGGGCTTACTCCTACTGGATCTCTGAGACCCATATACATTGCCAGAGATTGAACCTGGGTCAGCCATGTATAAGGAAAGCACCTTATTCATTGTACTAACTCTTTGATCTCCAATATTTTCATTTTTAGCATCATTTCGGTGTCTGTGTATTAGAAGACTTTCTAGTAAGAATTTTGCTATCATATTGTGTAATGGTGAAATATTAACAGCAGCCAAATACTCATCAATACGAAATAACTAAATAAACTATATTACAGTAATTTGCAGGGAGAGGGTGAATTTGGGCCACACCTAGCAGTACTCAGTAGACCACATGCAAGACAAATCCCTCTTCCCCTGTACTATATCTCCACTCCTGTAGCACACTATTAAGTCTGTCCAGTCATTAGAGCTCTATGGTCTAACATGGGGAGTTCTCCATAACTTACAATGAACAGAGGAAAACAGAATATCATTTATAATTATAACACCACATGAAATTATATAAAGGGAAACAATTTCTGTGAGTATATCTAGGGAATAAAATCAATTTAGAGTAGTAATACTTCTTAAGGTAAGTGCCTGGGTGGGTATGAAGGAGGACTAGAAAGATCTGATCTTTTAAAAATAAGATGAAAGGGGCCAGAGTGATATCAGAGCAGATAGGTTGTTTGCCTTTACGAGGCCAACCTGGGTTTGATCCCTAGCATCCCATATGGTCCCCCGAGTACTGTCAGGAGTAATTCCTGAGTGCAGAGCCACTAGTAACCCCTGAGCATTTCTGGGTGTGACCCAAAAAACCAAACAATGAAAATAAAAAATAAAAATAAGATTCTATTATGGTGCTTTAAAAATTGACATAAAATGTTTTCATGATGAAAAAGTACTGAAGTCATCAGACACCTTTTCGAGTAGGTATGAGCCAACATTCTGAAACAATTAGAAAATCAGATTTCCCTCTTGTCCCACAGGTCACGCAGTACTTGCTGGACAAAGCCCTCATCATGGATGAAGACACGCTTTATGCCCTGTCACTAAAGATTGAACCCCGGCTCCCTGCCTGAATAGCTGGCCCAGGTCCTGAGTGCTCGGGATTTTCCTGGAGAGAGGGATGGACAGAATGTGCATGCCATGTCTCCTGTGGTGGTACAGCGAGGAGTAGGGGAGGCGAAGCCAGCCTCCTTTGTTCACCAAAGACAACAATTCAAACTGGAATTGTCTGAAGTCAGGGACGCCCAGCTGTTCGGGGGTCAAAGACAAGTACTTCAGATGAGGGTGGGGAGGTGGAAAGATGGATATTGAGCAAAGTTGTTGGCACCATTTTTGCCTAAGGGAATGTAAAGTGGGACATGCCAGTAACCACATGGATGGAGTGGAAAAGAAGGTACATTTCAGACTTTGTCCCAGATTCTGTTCGAACAGAACCTGGGGCAAGGCTCCAGGGAGACCTGGGATGGCATGTTGCTGGCCAGGGCACTCCCATGACCAAGCTTCTCCTAAGATTTACCTACATTCCTTTGCTCTAAGCTTCAGAGAGCAGCAGCTTTGGGGGTCGGGCCGACACAGAAGCAATTCCAGCCTACAGCATGTGCATGGTTTCCAGTGCATTCTAAATATTTATATTGGAGGAATGGCATGTTCTGAAACTGCTTTTTCAGTCTTTTAGACAACCAGACTGAGTAGACGTGATGAAAGGCAAGGATTAGCATGTACAGTTTCCTTCCTTAACTCAGGAGCCTGTGTCTGGAATGATTCCAGCCTGTGACTATACCGACAAAACTGTGGATTCAGACAGAAAGTCACGCCACACTGTGGGGAAGAGGTGGCTTCAGTGCTAAGAGAACAGATCTACTTACAAATCATCTCTGCACTTTTCTATGCTATGTTTCCACCCCCACCCCCACCCATAGTAATGTGAGAATCTATTCTGATTTACAGAAACCATTTTTAGGAACACTATTAATACTGGTGGTCTTTTTTTTTTAAAGCTGTTTGGTAGGATTTTCTTTTTAAAACCCACGCTGCCGTGTGCTGTTGGTAGACAGTTCTCCCCCAACCATCTTTGTTTCAAGAGTATTTGGGGATATTTTGGAGTGTAAATATTGTGTAAGTATATGGGAAATGGGCCCAACCATTCAACAACTTGTATGCCAGAATCAAATGCAGGGGTTCGCCCTGCTCCCCCAGGTCAGGGGGAGGTGTTGGCGCTGCTTTCCCCAGAATCATCAGTTGTTGAAGTAATAGGGCTATCTCTTACTTACCTCCCTCTTCTCTTCTCAGGGAGATTTCTGCTTTACAAGAAAGAAGAGTAAAAACTAGAGTGATACCTGTGTCTGTTGCACGGGACATTTTCTCTTTAAGGCATGAAATATATTGTTGCCAACAATGAAAATATTATTCTATCGTTGGCTCTTTTCCCTCTTCCTTTGCACTTTAACTATTTTGTTCAAGCTAATGGTTGACTAATAAATGCTCAGTAGACCCAGTGGCAGCACTGGATTTGATCATGGATCACAAAAGTGGGGAATGTTCTTTTCTCCTGCATGGTAAGGACCATCTCTGTACATACATACATAGTGCAATATCAAAGATATCCAAAAACATGTTTATCCTATCTGAAGGCTGTTCCCAAAAATATTTTCACAAGTTTATGTTGGCCAACAGTGTAGCACTAAGCCCCTGGGGTGACTGATAGGTGTTTTCTTTTTTTTTTTTAAGTTTGCTTGTTCTCTTTCGTTTCAAATCAGAGGTTGCTACATCTTGCTGCATGATAACAAGCATGGGTTATTTGGATCCTAACAAGGCATGGCTTGCCATTCAATTCCCAGTGTTCCGAAACGGAAAGTTTAATCTGATTGACGTCAGTTTCCCCAAGCACCTCAAGGTCTGGAAGAAGACAAGGCTTGTATAGATTAACTTTCTTGTCTCTAGTACAAGGTCTTGGAAGGTGATTTCAAACCAGCATCAGTCAGTGAAAGGACCACACGCACAGCAGTTTCAAACAAAGGAGCACATGGAAAAAGGTGACCCCATTCAAGTCTGTATTGGAATCCTTCATCTCCTAGAGCAAGAGAGCGTGGCTCTGGGTGTGCTTATCCTGGAAGCAGGAGCCTGAGGAATTCCAGATGCCATTCCCCTCTGGGAAGGAAAGTTTCCCTCAGCTCGTGGCAATGGTTTTGTACCTATTTCTCATAGAAGATTGGAAGCAGGTGCACCTCCACCCCAACCCCAGTAGTTATCCATGGGCACTATCAGTGACTATGCTGACCTTTGAATTTTGAAATTTGTGGTGAGTTGCAAGCCCTTTCTCCTTCCGAGCTCTTGAGACCTGGAACTAGGATTGTGAGAGCAGAAACTCGACTTTAAGGGAGCTCCTTTCGATGATGTGCACTGTCTCTGGGCAAGCAGGAGCAGGAATGCACTTTTCTTTAAGATAAGTCAATAAATAAAACTCCTATTCAATTGCATTTAAAAGTCCCCAAGAGCAATTTGTAGTGTGTTTTCTTGCCATGTTTTCATGCTCTTCTGCCTCACTAACTTTGTGCAGGTCACTGGAGTGTGTGCCAGTATCTGTCTGTATCTGCCTAGACCCCATTACATGAACCCTACTTCTAAGAGTGACTGGGAGGTAGCTTCTGAAGACCAAGCTGCAAATATTTACTGTAAAATTAACCTCGAAAGTCAGAAGTAAAACGCAATGTCATGTTTGCAGATGAATGCCCACATTTTGTACTGTCAATGAAATTATCTTGGGGTTTTAGGAAATGCCTTTTGTTATTACGTAGACAACCTATTTTGCTGAAGGGACAGATTGCTTACTTAAGTCACCATAGTGACAGATTCAGGAATAAAATAGTCTGTACTCACTTTTCCTTAGTGTTTCTCGGAAGGAATTTAAAGAGGAAATTTTAAATTAGTGTTGCAATAATTTTTAAGTGGTTCTTATGTGAAGTCCCATTTTTGTTTAATTTTGGATATCTCAAAATATTACTTAGAAACAAATGAAACCTGTAAATACTGACTAGGTCACAGGAAAAAATCCATTATTTTGAAGTGTGTATGATGATGGATCCACACAGGAGTATATGAGACAAGATGAGGGACAAGAAAGATTGAGTTATTTTTGAATTCTTAACTGAAAAAAAGTATTGCAATAGAGAGATTATTTCCAATAAAATAAAATTTTATTTTAAAACAAAAAATTTTGTTTCACTTTTCTGTTTAGTTTGATTCTAATTTCTACCATCCCCAAACCCCAATTTTTCTCTTGAAGTTTTTATTTTTTTAGATCCAACCTGTAAAACAATTATTTTTACCACTGAGGAAAATGTGATCAAAGATACCATATTATTTGTGTCTAGCGAAGATCTGTGTTAATGACCATCCGCAGAAGGAATAAATAAGATTTGGAGCCAGGGTGATAATATGGTGGGTAAGGCACTTGCCCTGCACACAGATGACCTCAGTCCCCGGCACTCCGTGTGGTTCCCTGAGCCTGCCAGGAGTGATCCCTGAGAATAGAGGCAGGAGTAAGCCTTAAGCATTACGAGGTGTGGAACATCCAAAAAAATAAATAAATTAATGAAATTCCTTTCCACTTGAGTAACATCGTCTATAGAAGTTTAAGTAGTGAGTTGATTACAGATGCCCCTGTGAATTCTCATAAGACTCGAGTCGATGAAATCTAGTTAGAGGGTCATTTGCCTATCTCTTTTAGTGCCTAGAAATCAGGGCAGGGCGGGGCAGAGCCAAAAGGAAGAAACAACAATCTTGTCGGTATAAACTCATGAGAGGTTGTGAAGTCATCCGTGTTAAATGTCACACCACGTATCATTCACATTAGGGCTCATGGTACATGGCCATGCCTCTCAATAAGAATACTCCTACTTAGTGATGATGGGCACTGTCTCACTTGATTTCTTCCAAGAAAGGCAACAAGGAAAAGAAGGAAAAGAAAACAAACAAAACTCTGAGTAGATGTCCTACTCTGAGCCTATTTCTCCAAGCTGGGCAACCCAAAACTGGTAATAAAACTTCTCTAAGCTTCACTAACATGCTTCTCCTACAAAGGGTGTGAACAGTAATTTCTGTGCTGTCTTCCTCACAGGCCTGTCGGGGAGGCAAAATGGGTTACACTGTCAAATGCTGTCTAAATGTGAGGTAACATGAATCCCACTCTCATTTCTGTGCTGCAGAGGATTTATCTATTTATCTATTTCTTTGTTGTATGTGTGCGTGTGCGTATGCATGCATGAGAGTACATACATCCATGTATAGGTGTATGTGTGAGTGTGAGAGAGAGATGGACAAACAGTTACTCTGGGAAGCAGATCGTCTATGCCTGGGTTTCTTTGCCAGCCTGCTGGCTTTGTGGTTCTGATGAAATGCTTTGTTCTGTGGCCTGCCATTTGCTGGGGCAGATGTGGGTTATGCTGTTATGCAGATCTAACTTCACCTTCCTTAAATTCTCAGACCTCAAAGTAGTCTCTTTATTTTATTTATTTTTTAAAAATTTTTTAAAAATTTAATGTAGCAGTACTGCTATTTATTTAGCCACTGATTAGGCTGATTGAATTGGGCATGAACTCCACCTTGCTTTTTTTTAAATTTTTTATAATTTTATCTATTGAATCACCAGTTACAAAGCTTTCGGGTTTAAGTCTTGGTCATACAGTGAAACACCCATTCCTTCACCAGTGCCCATTCTCCACCACCAAAAACCCCAGTATACCCTCATCCCACACCCTCCCCCTACCTGTAGGGCAGATGATTTCCACATTACTCTCTCTCTCTCTACTTTGATTACATTCAATATTTTGACACCAGACCCACCATTATTATTTGGATTTTACCCCAACACTCAGATCTGCCAAAAAGACAACAGTAGACAATTTGTTTTTTATTGCTGGTTATGAATAACATATGATGTCGCGTGACTGCAGTAGTGGCCACGTGATTTTGAAACTCCAAAATTTTAACAATTAAATCTGGAGGGATTTCTGCCAAAACCTGCTGGGTTCTGAAATTTGTTCCTGAGTCTCTAGGATTATGGCCGTTAAGCAGCTTGATCAGGAGCCAGAGAGGCCATTTGTGGGCGGTGACTTGGGATCTCGTTGGGACGGGGAGGAAAGGGCTAGCTCCATCCCCATCTTGTGAGGTCCCGCATGTCTCATCACTGAGGGCTGAAACCTGACTGTCCAGTGGCCTCTGGAGGATGGCAGCCAACAGACTGTCAGGGGGAACAGGCCAAGGCACAAAACCTATTCCCACCTGGGGTGGCCCAGCTCCGGTAACCTACTGCAGGGACCAGACACATTTCTGCCAAAAGCTGCTGGGTTCTGAGATTTGTTTCTGAGTCTCTGGGATCATGTCCATTTAGCAGCTTGATCAGGAGTCAGATAGGCCATTCGTGGGCGGTGACTCAGGGTCTCGTAGGGACAGGGAGGAAAGGGCAAGCTCCACCCCCATCCCCTAAGGCCCCAAGTGTCTCATCACTG